AGAGAGAGAGAGAGAGAGAGAGAGAGAGAGAGAGAGAGAGAGAGAGAGAGAGAGAGAGAGAGAGAGAGAGAGAAAGGCATGAATTGAGCAAGCCCTTACTAGGGTTCTGTTGTGATCCCATTATGACTATGGATACACCATCCTACCCCTGCAGGGCTAGTACTATTCAGCCTACCATCAGGAACTGAGCACAGTATATAGATGATAGCGCCAGGGTGGTATATACCAAATCTTCTATGCCCCCATTGAAGATAGCCTTGGCTCTGGCAGCAAATGTTATGGTAGCCACAGCTGCTAAGTTGGGGTTTCCCCTCTCTCTTAGCCCTCTGAGCCCCAATCCTCTAGAGCAGGCCTGTGCAACCTGCAGCTCACAGGCCACTTAGAGCCCATGGGCTGCTTGCCTCACACCAAAGGATTTTGGGCAGCCCACGAAAAATGTAAAGGAAAACGTCCTTTGTATGTAGAGGAAATCCTTTGGTGTTTCACAAGAGGCAGGTTTTACAGGCCTGCTCTAGAACAACAGTTCTTAGCCTTTCTTATGTCAAAGATCCCTTTGGCAGTCTGGTGAAACCAATGGATCCCTTGTCAAAATTGTGTTTTTAAATGCACAAAAATAAAACTCATAGGATTACAGAGAAAACCAATATTAATAACTATTAAAATAATTTCAAAATTATATTTTTAATTCAACAATCTATGGATTTTATAAAAATATTTTTTTAAAAATCCAGAGACCTATGGATTAAGAGCCCAGTTTCTATAGCACTTGGCCAATCTCCCACGAGGAGGTCATACTGGGAGCTTCTCAGGGTCAGGGCCTTAGTTTGGTGAGTGCCTCCCTGAGCTGTGGCCCTAAGAGCAAAGACACCAGGGATTAAAGGAACCCCCTGGGAAGGGCAGCTTCATGGGGAAAAGCAGCTCACCCACCTCCAGCTTCAGAAAGGTGTCCAGGGCTATGGAGTCAACGTGAAGAGTCCCCCGGAAGAAGGCTGGACCCAGGGCTTCCTCTGGGACCTGATTCCACTTGATGGAGGACAGACTGCAAGAAGAACCCAGAAATGAGGGGAGGGGAAAGCCCAGGTCTCAATGGCAAATTCCTTTCCCTCCCTAGGGTCTCATCTAAATAACATGGACAGAGAAACGGACGTCAGTGTGGCATGAAGGAAAGTACCCTGGGCTCAGAATCAGGAAAGCTTCTAGTCCCACTTTTGAAACCCACCAGCCAGGTGACCTTAATCACTTTGCCTTCTCTCTAATCCTGAATTCTCTAATCTGTAAAATGACTGGTCTGGACTAGCTAATTGCTAAGGTCTGTGGTCTTTGTCCTCAGCTTTCACAGTCCTGAAGGCTTTTAAGGTCTTGGGATCAAAGAGCAGGCACATACCTCTGGAAGAAGTTTTCTTTCATCTCTAGGCTGTAGATTTTGAAATTCCGTAGGGGGGATTCATTCAGATAGATATCACCAATTAATCCTGTAGAAGCCAGGGAAGTGAGAGGGCATGAACAGGACTGGCACAGCTCCCGAGGCCCCGGGCAAAGACATGAAGATGAGGGCACTTATTACATCCCGGCAAGGCCAGGAAGTTTTCTTTCACAGAGGGCTCTGAACAGAAGGTTTCTGCAAACTATTGGGATGGGTTTTTCCTTCTGAGTACAAACTCAGCAGGATTGCCTGAGGACATGAAACCTTTCTAATAAATCCTAAAGGAATACCTCTTCTCTCTGCCAATTCTGACCAGGCCAAAATTCAAGAAAAAGCCCCAAACGATCCTGCCTCCTAGGGAGCTAGTTAACCTTTGCTTCTTGGAGTCAGTTTAGACCAGGGGTGGGGAACCCATGACCTTGAGGCTACATGTGGCCCTCTAGGTCCTCTGTGGCCCTTTGACTGAATCCAAACTTTGGATTCAGAAGTGAAGTTTGGATTCAGTCAAAGGGCTGTACTCAAGGACCTAGAGGGCCACATGTGGCCTCAAGGCCCCTGCTTTAGACTTATTGGGGCACCGTACAAGAATAATAGAAAATGCCTCTGTGCACCCAGTCAGGGGGCTGGGTGTTTGCCCTGCTCATGTGCCTACATTCATGAATCCCACAGGCTTTCAAGACCCCAGCCCAGCTTCAGGGATTCAGGTCACTGAATTGCCAAAGCCAGACTACACAAGGTATCTTGGAGCTCAGAAAAAGAAAAGACTTTGGTTCCCTGTAGTCTGATAACTATGACCTGTATGACCTCAGGCCTCATCTGTAAAATGACAGAATTGGACTAGGTCATCTCTAATGTCCTTTCCAGGTCCTATGGTTAGTAGGACAGCACATTATGGACAAAGAATGACCCTGCAAATCTATCAAGCGGTGAGCAGATGACTATGCTGCGTGAACAGACAACCATGCCAAATGAGCCATTATTAAGAATGAGTGAACAGAGTTCAGTGAGTAGAGCAGAAAAGATGTCAGCTATGCTGACAGATATTAGGACAGTTCCTTGCTCAGGGCACAAACTCTGTAAGTTTTGAGGTTTTTTCCTTAAATGAATCAATCCTCCTCACTTCCCAAAAAAGCAAATCATCCTTTACTCCAACAGGTAAGTCATTCCATGGGACATTTATTAAGCATTTATTAAGCACCTACTATGTACTGGACACTATGCTAAGTGCTGAGGCCACAAAGAAGGGCAAAAGACAGTCCCTGTTCTTAAGGAGCTAACAATCTAATGGGGGGAGACAATATGCAAACAACTATGTATAAATAAGTTAAATACAAAATAATTAACAGAAGGAAGGATCAGAATTAAGAGGGGATGGGAAAAGCTTCCTGTAGAAGATGAGATTTTAGTTGGGACTTGAAGGAATCCAGGGAAACCAGAAGGTGGAGAGGAGGAGGAAGAGCATTCCAGGTATGGGAGACAGAGAAAATGCCTGGAGAATGGAGATGGAGAAGGAGAACCGCAAGATAACCAGCATCACTGGATCAATGAGTATATGGGAGGCTGAAGGGAAGGGTGGAAGGCATAAGAAGACTGTAAAAGCAGAAGGACGCAGGTTGCGAAGGGCTTTGAATGCCAAACAGGTGACTTCACATTTGGTTCTGCAGGTGATAGGAAACCACTGGAGTTTATTGAAGAGAATGGAGGAGGTGGGGAGGGAGGCAGCAGCATTTTATGTGATCAGACCTGTGCTTTAGGAAAATCACCTTGGCAGCTGAATGAAGGATGGACTGGAGTGGGGAGAAACTGGAGGCAGGCAGACCCACCAGCAGCTACTGCAGTAGTCCAGGCATGAGGTGATGGAGGCCTGCATTCGGGTGGTGGCAGCGTCAGAGAAGAGAAGTGGGCATATCTGAGAAAGGTTGCAAACATGAAATCAACTGGCCTTGGCAACAACCTAGATATGGGGGAGGTGGGTGAGATATAGTGAAGAGTCAAGGATGGCACCTACATTTTGATCCTGGGGGACTGAAAGAATGGGGGCAGACAAGTCTGGGAGAGGGGATGGAAGTTTGGGGAAAAGATAATGAGTCTTGGACATGTTGAGCTTAAGATGTCTATGGGGCATTAAATCTGAAATGTCTAATAGGCAGGTGGAGGTATAAAACTGGAGGTCAGCAAAGAGGTTAGGACTGGATAAGTAGATCTGAGAATCATCACCATAGAAATATAATTTAATCACCAAGTGAAATAGTATCTAGGGAGGAGAAGCTCCAGGACACAGCCATGGGGGATACTCATGTCAGTGGGTATGACATGGATGTAGATCCAGCAAAGAAGCCTGAGGAGAGGTCAGATAGGTAGGAGGAGAACCTGGAGAGAGTGATGTCTAGGAAACCTAGAGAGAAATACCAAGGAGACAAGGGTGATCAACAGCATCAGTGGCTGCAGAGAGGATGAAGGATGAGGACTGAGAAAAGGCCACTAGATTTGGCAATGAAAAGATCAATGGTAACTTTGGAGAGAGGAGATTGAATGATGGCAGTCAGGAGCCAGATTACAAGGAGTTAAAAGACTGAAAGGAGAAGAAAAGGAAGCACCTACTGTAGAAAGCATTCTCAGATTTAGCCTCCAAGAGGAGAGCTACGGGACGGTAATTACCACTAGTGGGGATGGGTAAATCAAGGGAGGGTTTTTCGAGGATGGGGGAGACATGAGCAAGTTTACAGGCAGTAGGGAAGCAGTCAATATTCAAGGATGAAGATAGGTGAGAGTGGGGGGGTCTGTGGGTAGTAGAGCTGTCTTAGGGTTAGGTCCTGAGAAGGAATCTGGGCCTTACTGTAAGAAGCACATACCATGTTCAGGGTCCCGCAGTAACCTCAGAGGAGAAGCTAACTCAATAAGCATTTATTAAGCATCTACTCTCTATAAGGTACTGTACCAGGCACTGAAGATACAAAGACATAATGAAATTGCTACCACCCTCACAGAGCTTAGATTCTACTTGGGAACAAGAGACACAAGGTGATGGGTGGACCTGATGAAGGAGCTTACAGAAGCTGGGAATCCAGAGAACAATCACTAGACCTAGCTGGAGGTGGAGGGGAAAGAGTGGGGGGCAGGGAAGGAGATTGGAGGGAAAAAGGGGGGAAGCACAGGGCCGCTGAGAATGCAGAAAGCTGCTTGGAATTCCCTCACGAGAGCCCTGGTTCTCTGTACCCCAGTGGATCCAAGGCAGCTAAGATTCCTCACTTCTGTGGCAATGTACCAAAAGATAGATCCTACCCAAAGCGGTACAATACCTGAGATTCTATGATCCAGAAAATCATTTGGGTTAACAAGCTTCTTCTTTATAAAATGCAAAATACCTTTGGGAAAGTGAGGGGAAGGGTGAGAAATGGGAGGGGAGGTCTATAAGTCATTTATTTTTCATTTGAGTTAGTTTAATAGTATTGTTCTCTTTCCTATACCGCCTAGCTACACAAATGTCACCGAGACAATAAGAGTTTTGATAGTGGAAGGTGAGATTTTTGGAGGATGAATCACTTAAAGAAAGAAGGGCAAACTTAGTTAAGGATATGAATTACAAATGGTAGCACAGAGCACTAGATGCCTAGGGAGTAAAAGAAGAGAGGACAGTGGAAGAAGGGAGAATATAAAAACCTCTCTTTCTGTCTGCCTCCTCAGACCCATATTCCTGTAAATGGAAACACAACCCCCATAAGCAGGAAAGATATACTACTATTTCTATTTGGGTTCCAAACTAGTAATACCCCATCACCATCATAAAAAAAACACAACAACAGAAATGAGGTTAGATTGGCATGATTTGTTTTTGTTCAATCTGTCTGAAGAAGTTACAGCTTTCTATAGAAAATAAGGTCCAACATGGAGAGGACTTCTCCTTGCTTACACTCTCCTCTTGCCCTAGAGAGCTTGGGCTTATAAAGAGAGGAGAATGGCCACAGCCATCTTCTGTAGTCCTGGAGAATTCTCTCTTTAGCTGAGAAATTTGGCTCTTTTCCACATCCCTCAAGTTCTGCCTGATCACCCCTGAGAAACTTCCTCATCCTTTCTCTCTTCCTCACCTCCTACTAGGAACCTGGGAAAGCTTTCCAAGAGTAGGCCCCGGGTAAGCTGCATATGGAAATTGGACAAGTTCATGGAGGCATCTGGGGCTGTGTCTGCCTGAAGTCTGAAGGGATAGTGCCCAGGATGAGGCTGATCTCTCTGGCCTAATACACTGGCGAGCCACCTGGTGGGACCAGACCCATCTCAATGTTATTCCATTCTCTGCCACATTGTCCCATGGTTGGCTGATGGGGAGAAAGAATTCACACATGTGCTTTTTCAGTCTGAGGAAGGCAACTCTCACCAGCCTGGCCCTAGGTTCCCCTTCTCTGTATTTGGAACAGAAGCAGATATTGGCTGGGAGGTGCTCAATCCCACCTGACCTGGCTTCCTCATCCTCCCAACCCTGTCTTGGCATCTCCCAGAGCCCACCTTTCCGCTGTTCGTTGAGCATCTGGCCATAGTTGACTCGACCACGATTCTCCACTAGGATACTCAGCTTACGGTGACCCTATAAGAGATGCACAAACCCACCATGACTCCATGGCCTCAGCATCCATGGCACTAGAGCAATCCCTCCAGGCTTCTTCTGTGGAATTCTCCAGCTCCTCATGAAGCCATCTTTGGTCGTGAGCCAAACGCAGCTGCCTTATGGGGGGATCCATACCCAGCACAAGCCCCAGCTGCCTGACACTCTGTCTCCCACAACATTCCTCTCTTCCCATTGACTTCTTAGGATACAGTGCAATCTCAGCAACTAGAACAGAACTACATGGTATTGGTTGTCTTTGGGGCTGGGGCAGCTCTGGAAAGAGCGTGGTGTACAAGGAGACAATTAGAACTGGAAAACACACAAAAGTGGGACCCTGCAATTGCAAACCTGACTCTTAAGGATAGGCAGTCCTTCAGATCCATAGTCCATGTGTCCAATGTATATCCTATTCACAAACACCTGTGAAAGAGAAAGCAGAAGCACTGATGAGCTCCCCAAAAGGGATTAGATGTTACTGCTGTGAAAAGAAAGAAGCCAACAAGGGAAAGTAAGTATACCAAGTCGGGTTAGAAGCTGAGAACAAATGATGGGTCAGAGTAGACCACAAACTGAATGACAGCTGAAAAGTATACTGGTTTCTCTCTCTTTTTTCATATAAACATAACTGTGGGATGTTTAAGGTCATCCTCACCACTTTATTCAGCTCTAGTCAGAAACTGATGGGTCTAATTCTGGACTCCACCACCAAAAAAGGATCGTGGAGAATGAAATGAAATGAATGAATGAATGAATGATCAAAGAAGAAGGCTAAAGAATAAAGGATGAAGGAAAAAGAGAGTATTTACTTGGCATGACCAAAAGGAAATTGAAGAGAAATGAGGCCGATCAATAAACCCACCCCAGGTGCAGAGAGAGGCTCTCAGTGGGCAGCAGTTGCCTCCCTTGCCAGTCTCCTGGCCCATACCTGGGCCCGGTCCCGAATGTGGTCCTTGGAGGAAAGAGTGCCTCCCTCATAGATAGACGTCTCATAGAGTATGTACCCATAGGATTGGCCATTGCCTTGGTTCACTGACAGATTCTCCATATTGATAGGCTTCTCACTTTCAAATGGCTGTGAAAGGAAGCAGGAGATGAGCACAAAGTGAGGGTGAGCTCTTTAATTCAACAAACATTTAAGTACCTATTCCATGCAAGGATACAAAAAAATGGTCTCTGTACTCCAGGAGCATAATTATATTCTACGGGGAAGACATGACATGTGCATAGTCAAGTAAGGCAATCTGAGGGGGATGAGATGAACTCACAAGCAGGAAGGCTGAGCAGATTCTAATATGCAGATGGGAGGGTGGGAGAGGAAATGGAAATTCCATAAGTGGGGGACCACTGGTATAAACTCAAAGAGAAGAAATGATGGATTTGGGGGAACAGCTAATTGTCAGTCAGCAAACATTTAACAAGAGCCTGCTATATGCCGAGCACCGTGCTAAACATTGAGTGTGCAAAGAAAGGCAGAGTTCCTGCCCTCGAGGAGCTCACAGTCTAATGGAGGAGACAACCTGGTTGTAAACAACCATGGACAAAACAATCTGCCTACAGGATAGACTGGAAAAAATCAACAGAGTGAAGACACTAGAATTATGGGAGATCAGGAAAGGTTTCTTGTAGAAGGTGGGATTTTAGCCATCCGTGGGGGACAGCAAGAGGCAGAGATGAGGAGCTAGAGACTTCTTGGCCTGGGGGACAGTCAGAGGAAGTGCCTGGAGCTGAGAGAGAGTGCCTTTGGTGGGGAACAGCAAGGGATCCAGTGTCACCGGATCAGAGAGTATGAACGGATAACAAAAGGGAAAGAAGACTAGAACGGTAGAAGGGGGCCAGGTGGTGAAAGGCTTTCAATGCCAAACAGAGTTTTATATTTGATCCCGAAGGTAATAGGGAGTCAGTTGAGTCTACTGAGTAAGGTGCGAGTTTTATGTTTTTATGTTTTAGGAAAATCAATTTGATAGAGAACTGATTAAAATCCCTATTGCAACAGACCAGGCTTGGGGTGAGTGATGAGGACCTGCAGCAGGGTCCAGTGTTAGAAAAGAGAAGGGGGGATACACAAGAAATGTTCAAATCAACAGGGCTTGGCAACAGGTTGGATACAGGGGGTGAGGTGAGATATAGTGAGTGTTTGAGGATGACTCCTAGTTTGTGAGCCTCAGTGACAGAATAATGGTACCCTAGAGAGTAACAGAAAAGTTTGGAAGAAGGGAAAAAATAGTGAGGTCAGTTTTGGATATGTTGAGTTTAAGATGCCTATGGAACATTGAGTTAGAGAAGTCCTATAGGCAGGTGGAGATGCAATACTGGAAGTCAGCAGAAAGGTTAGTACTAGATAAGTAATTTGAGAATCATTACCTTAGAGATGGAAGGAAGGAAGATGGAAGAGGATGGAAGAGAAGGAAAGAAGGAGACTAGTTTGGCCGGTACCTAGAACATTGAGAATAGTAAGAGATAAGGCTGGAAAGCCAGATTGTGGAAATCCTTAAATGTCAGCCTGAAAAGTTTGTATTTTATCAGAGAGGCAACAGAAAGCCTGAAAATTTTTGATCAGGGAAGTAATATGATCAGAACTGTGCTTTAGATTCTTTTTGAAGCTATATGGAGGATGGATTGGACAGAGGAGAGACTGGAAGCAAGGAAACCAATTGTGAGGCTATTACAATAATCCAGGCAGGAGGGGATGAGGGCCTGAACTAGGTTAGTGGCCATGAGAGTGAAGAAAATAGGACAGAAGGGAGAAATGTCAGGGGCACTGAACTGACAGGTCTTGGCAAATGATTGGCTATGAGAGATGAGGGGGAGTAAAGAATCCAGTTTAACTTGGAGGTTATGAACATAGGTGACTTCCCCATAAAATAAACAGGGAAGTTTAGAGAAGATGTGGGTTTAGGGGAAATGAGAAATTCCAGTTTGGACGTGTTCAGTTTGAGATGCCCATAGGACTTAAGGTGAAGATTATCCAGAAGGGGCAACCCAGAACTCAAGGTACAGGGAGGAGGTGAATGTAAAGATCTATCATTCAGCTAAGAGTAATAACTGAACTCATGGGAGTGGATGAGATTACCAAGACATGAGAGTGTAGAGACAAGGGAAAGCCCAGGACAAAGCCTTCAGGAAACTCATAATTAAGGCACAAGAGGTAGACAATGATCCAACAAAGAAGAAAGATGAGTGGTTAGACAGGCAGAGAAGGGAGCCAGTGGGGAACAGTGCCAAGGAAGCCAAAAAGGAGGATCAATGACATCATAGCTGCAGGAAGCTCAAGACGAATAAGGCCTGAGAAGACAACCTGAATCACTGAATTGAATTGAGAAGCTTATGAAACTTCCTTACTGACGCCCAGTATCATAACCATAACAGTTCACACTTACATAGTGCTTTATGGCTTACATCCCAACAACTCTGTGAGGTAGGTGGTATAAGTGTTATTTTCATTCCAATTTTGTAGGTGAGGAAACAAATGAAAAGAAATGAAATGACTGGCTCCTAAGTCTCCAGAGCCAGTAGCTGACTCTAGTGTGATACTTTCCATTACGCTATGGCAATGGTCCCCCAGGGTCCATTTGGAACACAAGAGATTTGTTAAGAAATGGCATGTGCACATGTATAATCAATATCAAGGAGGAGAGAGAGGAGAGAGCGAGAGAGAGAGGAGGGAGGGAGGGAGAGAATTTGGAACTCAAATTAAAAAAAAATGAATGTTAAAATTTTTTGTTTATATGTAATTGAGAAAAAACAAAATAAAAAAAGATTAAAAAAAAAGAAATGGCACATGTAATAATGATAGTGATTATATCCCATACCTAGCTGTAACAATTTATTTCAAACCCATCTGTATCACAGTGTGGTTGTGAGGAGGCCAGGGAGACCTGACATCCAGAAGCTAAGTGATTGGTCTGAGGTCATTCAACACACCACAGTAAAGCCAGGACTAAAATCCTGGACCCTAGACTCTTTCTGAGCTGCTGCTCAGCTGGAGGAGTGCACCAGAGTCCAATCAGGCCTAAGAAGGAGAATGTCCCCATGTCCTGCTCCATTAGCCAGCGTTTTTTCTTCAGGTTCAGTCTTCCCTTCTCTGGACGTGCCTGGCCCAAGTTGGGGCTATGTTCCCTGTATTTCTAAAGCTTAGAGACATGTCCAAGAGCTCAAAAAACTTGACTTTCCTTTCCCCTGGATCATGGGCCTAAGCCCTTGTCTTCTCCTTCTGCTTTTAATCTTGTCTAGGAAGTACCCACCTTGCCCACGTGCTCCAAGGCATCCCACAGTGACATGTAGTGTGAGGGCTTCACAGCATGGTAGGAGGCTTTCGGCATTGTGGCAGGCAGGTGGGGCAGTGGATTATCTGTAATGCCAATGAAGAATAAGGGAAATCCCAGAATCCTGTGGCATGGTCCCTGACTCCTCTGTTCCCTCTTCTACTTTGCTCAGGGGACAGATCGTGTTTCTTTATCCGAGTGTCAACACAGTAGTGGGCCTAGGTCTAGAACAAGCGTGAGGGATCCAAGGAAGGAAAAACTGTCGTTGTAGGTTTTCCCTGTGTGGGGTTCTCTTAATCTCTGCAAGCTGGCACTGGTCTCACTGGGCATAGTGCCCGCTGCCCTGAGAGGGCAGCTTTACAGTTGAGGAGGCACCAGACACTATGGTGTTATCTACCAGCCCCTCACATCTCCATTCAGGATTTTCTGGGAAGCTGAGAGCCAAAGGGAGTATGTTTCTGAGCTAAATCAAGGAGTAAATAGACCAGCTTCAGAATCAAGTGGGTGATGGATACCTATGATGGTGCTGAAGAACTCCCGAAGTTTGAAGAACTTGGGTGTGTAATCCCCAGCCTCCGTCAGTACGGCATCATAGTCTGTAAGAAGTCACAGGAACCGTAAGTGGGGAGGTCCCCAGGGCAACCCAATTCACCACCTTCTGCAAGTCAGACTGTTCTTAGTCAGCAACCTGTAATGAAACACCTCCTGCTATGCTGAGCCCTGCGCTGCCCACCTTAGGGAGCTGACAGATCAAAGCGACACATGAGGAAGAGCCCATTCCAGCCCGGGGCAGATAGCATATCCCTAAGACGAGAACTGAGGATGCTCTGATCCAAGAGTACCTCCCTTTCCCATCTCAATACTACTTCTCTCCTTGCCTGCCACCAGTTTCTTCTTAAACCTAGAAACAGCAGTCATAAGGCAGTTAGACACACCTATCAGTATTTCTGGCCTGCAGTTGCTGGGAGGTAAAAAGTGAGTGATATTAGCAATGGCTCTTTAGGCAGTCAATTAATCAGACAGTAGCATTTATTCTTTGGCCTATAAAGTCCAACCTGTTGCAAACTACAGTGATGGTCTGTAAGCAAACTGATGTAGCGAAGTGAAAGGAAGGGAGTATGATATACATACCACCCTAACCCCGAGTCTCAGGGAACTTTACAGGCAATAAGCTAATGGTGTCAGCAGGTGTCTTCAGGGACCTTTCCTGGAAAAGGCCCAGAGTCACAAATGCGAGGGCGTAGCAACATCAGGGCATACTTACCATAGCTCGTGACATCAGCCTTGTATTCGCCAAAATGCTGAGCCCCGTTCATGAAACCAAAGTTGGTTCCTCCATGAAACATGTAAAGGTTGAGGGAGGCACCCATCTGGATGATAGAGGAAACAGTGACCACCACATCTACAGGACAGTGAAGGGGACAGAGTTAAGTGTCTGAGGGCCCTGAAGGACTCCCACTGCCTCTTCCAGTATCGGCTCAAATTCAGTCCAAGCTCTATTGTCCAGAACCCACCAAGCACTAGACCTAGAAAACGGTTGGATAGATCAGAACCTCTCCCCACATCTCCATCAACTGAAATCTTTCTCATCCTTCAGGCTCAACTCAAATCCTTCCTTCTCCATGAAGCCTTCCTTGATCCCGCCACCTGGAAATGTTTTTCCTTTGGGCCTTTGGAGTCTTTCATTTTTATCTCTTTTATGTGATGAGTACATCTTGTTTGTATTATTTATAAACATACAGTAGATTTACATACTGTATAGTATATAAAACAGATAGTATATATATATATATAAATACTACACATACTATGCAAAATACAAAATAGCATATAGTAAATAACATGTAGTATTCATATATACCATATAATTATATATGTGTGTATGTATACACCCACAGACACACAGACATACAGACACACACACACAGAAGCAGCTAGGTGGCTCAGTGGATAGAGTGCTGGGCCTGGAGTCAGGAAGACCTGAGTTCAAACACAGACTCAGACACTTACTAACTGTGTGACCCTGGGCAAGTCACCTAACCTCTGATTGACTTAATTCACTGGAGAAGAACTGGCAACCATTCTAATATCTTTGGCAAGAAAACCCCATGAAGAGGAGCTAGATGGTGCAGTGGATAAAGCTCTGGCCTTGGAGTCAGGAGGACCTGAGTTCAAATTTGGCCTTAGATACTTGACACTTACTAGCTGTGTGACCCTGGGCAAGTCACTTAACCCCTATTGCCTCACAAAAAAAAAAAAGAAATAAAACCCCATGGACAGTACTGATGTGACATGGTCCATGAGATCACGAAGAGTCAGACATGACTGAACGAATGAATAACAATAGCAAAAAAATTGATATATATATATATATATGTATGTTCATATTGTATTTGTGTGTATATATATATATAACTACACACACAAATGTAATATGTGTATGTGTATATATATATATATATGTTTACAAAATGTCTTCTACTAAACTGTTAGTTGAGGCCCCAGATGTGTAATTTATCTCTGTATACCCTTCAAATCCAAGGACTGGTTTCATATATCAGCCCTCCAATTAACCTAATGGAATGAATGAATGGGCAAGGTCAAGAAATCCCCACATCATCGAAGAATTCATGTAATTTGATGAATTAAATTCATCTCCTCTGCAGGATTAATCATTGAATCATGGAAAATTACTGAGCTGGGAGGTAACTTAGGATCAGGTTTGGTCACCACAATTTACAGGTAAGAAAACTGAGTCCTGAAGAAGCACGGGAGCTGGTCCAAAGTTCTCAGAGCAGCTCCACTTTGTGGCTGCAGCAGGCGTCACGTTGTCATGGAGAAGCCTTCATTCAGATTCCCCCCCTCACAGCAGGGGGACCATAGGCAAGTCACTTGCACCCCACCCCCTGCTCCCCCCAGGGCTGTTGTGGCATCAAATGAGATAATGTATGTCAAGCATCTAAGAAACCCAAAAGCACTACCTGCAGGTCAGTTACTGGCAGCAGCAGCTGCAAAGATGGGATTAAAACCCACATTTCCAGTCAAATGTTCTTTTCAGAAACATCACCAGGTCTCAAAAAGACATAACGAAGAAAGTAAACTTTTTTTTTTTTTTGGCCAGGGGTTGGGGGAGGCAATAGGGGTTAAGTGACTTGCCCAGAGTCACACAGCTAGTATCTGAGCCCATTTTTGAACTCAGGTCTTCCTGAATGCAGAGCTGGTGCTTTATTCACTGCACCACCTAGCTGCCCCAAACTTGCTTTATTAAAAAAAAAAAAAAGAATGATCATTTCACAACTGAATCAAAATGACTTGTATTACCCACACACTGTCCTTTGTCCCTCCTCCTTCCATTGTCATGGATAATTGAGAATTGAGTTTCTCAGCCACTGCAGACACAGATCCCCACAAATCTGCACGTGCCCAGAGTGTGGCCAGAAGGTTCCGTTGCTGATAAACGATGCAGGAGCCTCTGTTTTGCTTACGCTCTGGATTCCCCAGCCGCAGATTACTCACCATCGGCATCCACGATGTTGTGGGGACCACCCCATGTGTCAAACCACCCCGTCCAGTATTCTGTCACCATCGTGGGCTTATTTTCCTGGAAACAATCCAAACCAGCAATCGGCACTAGGTCACAAGAGCAGGAAGATGAAAACCAGAGGCCATGAGTCCTCTAGAAGACCCCATGAGTCCCATGAGGACCCAGATACTCATGCTCTTCCCAACCACAAATGAGTTAACTGTGGGATCTGCCCAACATCAATACTGCTCGCAGGAATAACCAGAGCAGCAGGGAGCAGTCCGAGGATGCTCCCTGGTGCCAGGGCTGGGGCCTGCAATCCTGCCTCCTGAACACGTTGACCTGCCGGGTAGTGACTGCCGAGCCTGCAGAGGCAAAGCAAGAAAAGCGGCCAAAGATGACACACCTGCAGCACTGCACAGGGTACTGGGAGAAAAGCGTCAGTCCTCGTTGGAGCTAGGTCCTCGTCATCATCATAGCTAGTAGTGATCCAGAGCTCTTTAAAAGTTTGCCAAGTGCTTGACCTATATTGGTTCATTTACTTCTCACAGTAACCCTGTGAGGTAGGTGCTATCAGTGTTGTTGTTGTTCAGTCATTTCAGTCATGTGCAATTCTTCGTGACCCCATTTGGGGTTTCCTTAGCAAAGATACTGGAGTGGTTTGCCCTTTCCTTCTCCGGCTCATTTTACAGATGAGGAAACTGAGGCACACAGAGTTGAGTGACTTCCCCCAGGTTATACAGCTAGTAAGTGTCTGAGGCCGGATTTGAGCTCAGGTCTTCCTGACTCCAGGACCAGCGCTCTATCTCCTGTACCACCTCCCTACCCCAGATAGTTGTTTGTAGCTAGAATCAGAGTCAATGAAACATGAGCAAGGGAAAATGTAGGGTGGCAATATGAAGTGAGGCATTAGGCAAATTGTCTGTGTCCTGTGCTTGCTCTCCCAGTCATCTTGAGAAAGATGTAGAGCAGAGGAGACACTGTGACAGTATTTGACACTTGGATTCCCTTCGTCCATTCTTGTGATACACTAAAGGGGAATATGGGATGATCTGAAGAACCTTTAAAGGCAATCTCCCAAAACAGGGGTATGGTCTGGTCAGAGATGGTCTCTCCAAAGAGTACAGAGACGGAAGAGTCCTTTGAAGAATGGCCAGGCTCTCAATGAAGCACTTCTTTGCACAGAAAAAAAAAGAGTCCTATCTTGGTGAGATGGGAGGGATAGTGAATAGTGCTGGGTCCAGAGTCAGGAAGACCTGAGTTCAAGTCTGATCTCAGACACTTACTAGCTGTGTGATCCTGAGCAAGTCACTTGACTCTGTTTGCCTCAGTTTCCTCATCTGTAAAATGAGCTGGAGAAAGAAATGGCCAACCACTCCTGTATTTTTGCCAAGAAAACCCCAAATGGGGTCACAAAAGAGTTGGACGTGACTGAAATGACAGCAACAACATTCGCAACTAGTGAGATTACCATGTGTCTCTGGGATAAAGAAAGATGTGTCATAAGATCCAAGGCCACTGGACAAGAAGAGGCTTCCTCCTCAAGACCAGAAGCTAAAGAAATCTCCCAGGCTTTTTGTTCCTCTCCTTTGCCCGTCACAGTCCCCTTTCAGGCAGACTGACTCCAAGTGGTATAGGTACCTTTGCACCCCAGTACAAAAGAACACCCAGATTTACAGATCTGTCACCCAATATTCACAATCGTGGTCCTGCCGGTCAGCTTGGATTCAAACATTGGGAATCGTTGTTAGAAACACCACACTCTTCCACAGGGAGAGGAAGGTTATTCCATTTTCTATGTCTGTTACTAAGGGAAGATTTACTGCTTCGTTGAATAAGGGAGGTCGGACTCAGGCAGGTCTGGGTTGAGGCAAAATTTCTGGGCTGAGAATGCTAGTCTTGGGCCTCTCTCCTAGGGAACAAGATCTGGGGGGTAGCACATCTTCCCTCTTATTCTGGGAACTAGAAATATTTCATCAATATGACAAGGAGAATGGGTCACCGGGGAAGGAGACAGATGGAAGAAGGTGCAGTTAGCACCTTGCAAAGCCATGTGGGAGATTCCCCTGGGAAATCCCTACAGCACTGGGATTGTGGGAAGCAGCCACATGGACAGAGAGCATCAGCATCAGCATTTCCTCTGGGGATGCCTGGGGTGTCAGGGAGCAGAAAGAGGGCCAGGTTATACACAAGGATGAATGGCACATGTGCTGGGAGTGAGTTATGGTTAATAGATGCTGGAAGCCGTGCAGTTGTCATATGTATGATGTTGGGGCCTGAGAATTTCCTCCTTATGTCTTGCCTGTGACGAGTGGGGTTTGTTCAAAGGTGTCAAAATTGGCCTGGGATCTTAGCTTCTGCTACTCTAGGGCCCATATGCAGCGTATCCCAGAATTGGAGTGACAAAGCTATGATCACAGCAAGTCTAGGGTGACCTCTCTGAATTGTACCAGCTGAGACCACTCTCAGGCCTATGGGAAAGGTAACCAGAACTAGTCACTAGAAATGTAACATAAACTGCATCAAAAACTCAAATTTCAAGAAGAATAGAGAATAAATAACAATAAAGTTAATATTCACATAGTGCTTTAAAGTTTGCAGAACTTTATAAATATTGTGTCATTTGAAACTCACTACAACCCTAGGAAGTAGGTGCTATTATTATCATCCCCATTTCAGATATGAGGAAACTGAGGCAAACAGGTTAGATGACTTGTCCAGGGTCACACAGCTGGTATCTGAAGCCAGATTTCAACTCAGAATTTCCTGACTCCAGGAAATCCACTGCATCATCTAGATGCCTAATATGGACTTGTTCCGTGTCCTAAAGGTCACTCCAGAAAGAGTGACAATTTGACACTTAAAATGTAGCTTTTACAAACAATAGATCCTTTCCTTCATGGCATAATTGTACTTGACAGGGTTTAGCTCTTGAGTAAAAAATAGGTTCCTGGCCACCAGCACAGCAGACTGGTACAAAACATGACCCTTGAAGGGACTGAGGAGCAGGACCCTGGATTATTCAGGATGTCAGGGGTTTTATCACTGCTTAGGGGGGAGTGAAAGATTATTAAGGCTCTTGATTCACTGAAAGATTTGAAACTTTTATGATAGGCCACTTAGAGACACTGTGTGTCTAAGATGCTTCCAGCATCAATTAACCATAATTCGCTCCTGGCCCCTATGCCATTCACCCTTACATATAACCTGGCCCTCTTTCTGCTCCCTGGCACCCCTAGGCATCCCCAGAGGAAATATAATTGGAACGAACACCCATTAATCCCTCTACAAAGCTCAGTGAATATTAAGCGATCTTCACAGGGGTACTGCCTCAGAGGATCCATGGGACCTCATGGAGGAAGAGTCTATGACTCAAGAATTCTCCTCATTGAAAGCCAAGAACATATTTTGGCTTTGGCACGTACCTGTGTGACCTGAGGCAAGGCCTTTCCCTTGCTGGGCCTCTCATTCATCCCCCCGTGGCACAGTGTGAACCAAAGGTCCCTTCTAGCCCTGAATTCCATGACTCATGAAGTTCCCATGCCATCAGGCTTAGGAAGAACCAGGTCAGTGCTAATTTCAAGAAGAAACTCTTGAGTTTGGGCTGCATGTGCATCTGGCTTTCAGCCAACACAGGACCTCGTCAGAGGGCCCCAGAAGACCTTTGAATATGGACCTAGGCCCCACAAGAACCGCCAGAGTGACCTGCCGTCATGCCGGCCTTTCATTCTTTTGCAGTGGTGACAACTGGTGGTGATGTTTCTATGAAGCAATGTTCTTTCCCACCTACTGTTCCTGTTCACAGTCAGTGAATGATCAATTCTTTCCCCTTTCTGCCTCCTGAAATCCTGTGCATCCTTCAAGATGCAGGTCAAATTCCAATGTTCCATGAGGCTTTCTTTCCTCAGCAACCTCACTGGAAGCTCGGGCTCTAGCCTACGTCACAGCCTCTGTCACTAATGATTCATTTATGACATACCTGCTGCTATTTATTATGATTATTAGTCGTCTGTGTGTGTGTGTGTGTGTGTGTGTGTGTGTGTGTGTGTGTGTATGATATCCCCAAACAGAGAAGTTGCTTAAGGGAAGAGACCTTTTTTATATGCCAGAGCCCAAGCATGATGGAATGATGGAGTAGGGGATGGAGTCTCTGGTGGAAATAACACCCTTTCAGAGCTAACACTCAGTATTTTCCTACAGGTTCCTCCTTCTCCAACAATACTGTCTAGTGGACTGGGCTCGGGGTCCAGAGCACTCACGCCAAAGCCAGTGGAAGCAGGAGCAATGCCTTCAACTCTTCTGACCAGGCCTGGAGCAGAGCTGGCACAGCTCCTGAGAATAGCTTGGCTTAGGCAGGATATGGACACCTGACCCAAATAGGGCCTATGCTCAGGTCATTTCTTTCCACTTAGGAGAGGTGCACAGATTTGGTCATCAAAAAAAAATCAATCTGCAGAGGATTTAGCAGTAAATTCTCCTTAATCCATTGGATATTAAGTACGCATCCAAAGAACCTCCTTTCTTTTTCCCAACGGCTTCCCTGAAATCAGATTCACTGTTGTCCTGATGCCAATGAACTTCCCAGAGCTTGAGAGAGGGTCTGCAAGCTGGAGATGGCACAGAGGCTCTTCAGGATGTGACAAGGCCTAACTACACTCTCTATTTCTGTTAATTATACGTTTGTCCAGACTCTTATTTAATAACAGAGGGCAAGGGCCACATCCAGTCTTGATTCTGAATCCTGACAGTCCAGTACTTTGGGTGACTTTGGATCACGACTGCCCTGGTGTGGAAAGCAGGAACCACCACCACAGCCATTGAGGGTTCTGAGAAAGTGCCATCCTCAGCAGGATGTGGGTCCCGGGGCACATGATGATTTTAAAATGCCTTGTCCCTAACATTTGTTTACTGATAAAACACCTAAAGGGAACAACAAAGGCAGGCCCAAAAGAGATGAAGTATTTTAGAAGGACAAGCTATGAACTGAAGGGGAAGTGCCAGGGGATAGGGGTCCTGCTGCCAGGTGGCCAGCAAAGCTGTTGATGCTGACTCTAAGTATATTAGGAGCACTTATGGCACTTTTCAGCAGTCATCACCTCTTCTGACTCTCTGCCTTGTGCCAGCTGTGATTCCCATCAAAAGACATGAACCCCACGGTGTGCATGGTACAGTGGAAATAGCCCTGGATCTGAAGTCAGAGGACCTAGATTGAAATCTGACCTTTACTACCTGTGCGACTTTGGATGGGTCTCCTATCCTTCCTGCATCTCAGTTTCTTCACCCAAAAAATAAGATTGGACTGGACTGTCTCTGAGATGCCTCCCTGCTACAGATCTGTGACCTCGTACAATGATCTTACGCATGAACAATAACCCATATTTGCCAAACTCTAAGGACAGCTCTGGCCACATCTGGAATGACAGGAGAGTCGATGCTCAAAATTAAGAGGATCTAATAGGTTTTCCTCCCACGATCTCCATGGCCTGCCAAGACAAAGCAGATCCCCAAACTGCCTAACACTAGAAAGACCAGATGTGCCAACTGGTGCCAAAAAAAAATTTGGGGGGGTAAGCTTACTATAATTTACTCTATAGTAAACTTTGTGTATTTTATTATAATTTGCTATAATTTCTCCTACCTGTGCAAATGCACTTTAAATAAAAACGATTCTAAGTTATTTCAAATTTAAAAGTATAACATTTTTCATTCTATCATCATTTTCTTTGCCTTATGGATTTAAAAAAATGCACTGCATCAATTGCTGCATCTGGGGCCTTCAAAGTATTCTTAAATTCTTATCCTTCAGGTCCCAGTGAAACCCACACAGATGCTGGCAATGGGGATCTCTGGAGCTGAGAATGTGTGAAAACTCATGCTTACAGATTCCCTTACAGGACTTCAAAATCTTAAAAACCTGCAGGAGTCCAAGGTGGGTCTTATATCTGCTTTACCCAGGAGGGGCAATGAAAAGAAGGGAGTGGGCCATCTGTGGCATGACAGAACAAGTCCTGGGAGGGACAGAATCCAGGAGCATCTCAAGCCTCTGTTATTATCCCTGAGAAGTCTCTTAACTTCAGAAGCTTCTGGAAGTCCCGGTTACCAGTGAGGAGGCAGAGGGAGTTTCCATCTTCCTGCCAAAACTCCTTGACTTGACTATGCTTATGACCACTGAGAATACTCAGATGCTTAGACAAGAGAGGCTCTTCTACTCACAATATCCTTACCTGGAATGAATGGAGATAGTTGAAAATCATGGAATCCACATGCTTCAAATTGACAGTAGCCAGCACTGTGGAAGAAAAGGAGAAATGCTATAATAATGACATTAATAATAGCTAGAATTTATACAGTGCTTTAAGGTTTGCAAAGCATTTTACATGATTTATCTCATTTGACACTCAAAATAACCCTATGTAATAGGTGCTATCCCCATTTTTACAGATGAGGAAACTGAGGCACAGAAAGGTTATGTGACTTGCCCATGGTCATCCAACTAATAGGTATCTGAGACAGACCTTGAACTCAGGGAGACTTGATTCCAAGTCCATCATTCTATCTACCGCACCACCTCGATTCCTGTACAAGTTGTATTGCCACCAGGGACCATTGGGAGAAGGAATGTCATACACAGCAAGGGAGGTCAAAATGCCCCTGGGTCTCAGCCAGGAGATATAGGACCCAGCACCTCTATTTACATTCTATATTGGCTTATCCAGAGGCATCCTAGGCTAGATCTAAGTGGAAAAAAGTTTGTGTTCCTGAAAATTCTTGGCCTCAGAACTCACCATGAGCAATATCCAAGGGATGGTTAAAAAAAAAAAACATTCATCATTAGAACCAAACTATTCTTCAACCCACTATTAAAATTGCTGGCCCACCATTCATTATCTTTCCATAGATGTGTCATTTCCTTAACTACACTCTCTATTTCTGTTAATTATATGTTTGTCCAGACTCTTATTTAATAACAGGTTCCCAGAGGGCAAGGACCACATCCAGTCTTGATTCTGAATCCTGACAGTCCAGTACTTTAGGTGACTTTGGATCACGACTGCCCTGGTGTGGAAAGCAGGAAGATAGGGCTTGGCCCCTGGCTCCATTTTCCTGGACAAAGCAGTGGAAGCAATGATAAGGAGACAGTGACCCCTGGTGGAGACGACTGAAGATTGTTGCTGCCTTGGGAAAGGTTGGGAAATCCTGGGCCCTCTGAAGAAAGATTTCTCCTCTACCTGCCTCCTCTCTCTTGGACCAAAGGAAAAGGTCCAGGGGCCAGTCCCTGAAGATAATGGAGTCCCTCCTCTCTTCACTGCTCCTCAGGACCTGAGCCTTTGGCAGGATTCCACTCCTGAGTCACTTCCATGGTATTGCCATCCTTACCCCACTTCCATGGCCCCAGATAGGCCCTATTGCCAGAGACAGGCACTTTGAAAAAAATTTCAAAAGGAAACAGGAAGAGACAAGTGCCCATGAGTGAATGGGGGTATATGCCCACAGTTCAAAGGACTTGTGTGAGGCTTGTCTCCCCAGTGGCCACGCTCTCTAAACACTACGTGGCCTGGTCCTCCCATGGAGACTTTCACCAGTGGTCCCTGCCTAGAGGGTGAAGGCAAACACACAACACCTACAAGATGGCCCCACAATCCAGGGCTGCCAGTGTTCCTGTGCCCCGTATGAAAGCACAGCATGACAGGCAACAAATAGCATGACAGGAGTCAGAGCTAGGAGGATGGGTGACTGGTGCTCAGCTGTGGCCAAGGTTAGGAAGGTCCACCAAAAAGCCCAGAGACGTGAACAGCAGCAAGGCCTGGGCAACAGACAGTGAAGGGCTTTGCTAAGGGGCTCCTCAGAGCTGCTTATCTGGATCTGTTTCCCCACTTTCCTTTTCTTCTACCCCAAACCATACTTGCTCCTCACTTGATAAGACCTCATGGTTTTGGTATTCATTGGTCCACTCACTGCTTCTCTCCTCTTAGTAGCCAGGTGCTAAGACTAGATGCTCCAACATCACCTGGCTCTTACCTGCCTCATTTCCTTCACATGGTTTGCAAATACAGGATCAATAGCTTTTAGATAATTCTGATGGCTCCCAACTCTGTTGTTGGCCCATCCAGGCTTGGGTCGAAGGGAATTGGGAAGGATAGAAAAAAGTGTCCTGTGACCTGCAGAATTCTGTTACCTCCCTTGATGAAGTGGAGCAGCAAGGACAAAAAAGCAGACATGTGAATGATTTCTAGACTCAGTCCTGTCACTTAGCCCTTTGAAAGATGGAAATTGTGAAAACAGGGAGAAGCAGGTTCAAGAAAATCCCTGATGCTGAGCTGCGCCCCTGATTCTCTCACTCATCAAGACAATGAGTTCAGGCCAAAGTGACTGCTCGCCCCCTGTTCCACCTCGTGGTCCCACCATGTCAGTACCTCCTTCCAAGAAGCCTCCACTCAGGCCATCCTTGTTGTCTGAAGTCATAAGCAGCTCAACAATCCCTCTATTCAACAGGGCCTGAAGGGAAACAAAACAAGATAAACCACCCACTTTTCTCCCTCCCTCCTTCCTTCTGGGGTTCCCTCCACCATTAGAAAAAGCAGTGACAGCCACAAACAAAACTGTGGCCCTGATAGGTAGGATGCAGAGGAGAGGCAAAGGAGATAAAATTAAGTGTCCACATTCCCTACAACAGAGATGAGGAGAAATTGCTACCTCGGCATTGGCCTCGCTTAGCAGCGCCAAGGGGGTAATTAAGGCCTCAAATTGTTATTTGTGGGAATCACAGCTGGGGATGCCACAGTGAAAATCTGGACTTCTGGGTAGCTGCTCCCGATCTGGGTCAGGGTGGCTGGCTTCCTTAGGCTAGCTTGGCATTCTTAAGGTCAGTCAGTTACACTGAGGCAGAGATCCCATGATCACCAGTCTTTAGTCTCGGGCCTGTTGATTTGACAGGGAGCTAGGTTTGTTCCTCTGGGTTTATATTGGAGCTAGGAAGCACAGGGATATTGCCTCCTATACCCACCAGCAGCCTAGTTGCCCAATTCATGGGAAACAGCCTTCTGAGCCCCAAAGAAGCTTTTAAATATCTCTTGGGAGCAATCACCCAAGTGGCTAATCTCACTGGTGACAGCATTAAAGTGTTAACCTGCCCCGTTTCTGATTGGGTCAGTCCTACCCCTATTTAGGCAGCCTGACAGCCCCCTGATCTTGAGAGCCCAGAACACTGGTTCGGGCTTAGAGTGGACTCCTGACGCAGCACAGAACTCCCGAGCTCAAGTGATCTACCAGGCTCAGCCTCCCCACTAGCAAGGATTACAGGTATTCACTACACTCCTGGCAGTCCAGTATATCAGCAAACATGCTAAATGTTATACTCTGACTGACACTTTTCCCTTTGCCAGAACTAAGGAGAGATGAGCTTTGGTTCAATCTACCCACTTAGTCACAATCCTTGGAGAAAGGCATATTTGTTAGAACATTCTTACCAGCTGTACTCATGAAGGGCCCATTGAGGCCAGAGTTGTCTGGGGAGGGGGACGGGTAAAGATCTGATTATTTCATTATCCCTAGTAATTATTAGAATCAGAAGGCAGGATTGAAGAAGCAGTCTCATGAAGGCAGTAGAAAGATTTCTCTAAGAGCCCACTGGTTTCATCCCTTGAGAAAGGCAATTTCCACCTCCACAACTTCTATCACCTTTTGACCGCAGGGCTAAATGTTAGCGATTTTTTTTTTAATGCAATGTAGATGAGATGACAATTCTAGGACAGCACTCTGTCCAAAATTAAAACAAAAGAGGCCAAGAAAAAATCATGCAAGGTCACTCTGGCAAAGATCAGAGCCTGGCAGAGCACAGTCTACTGACTATCCCACTGAAGAATAAAAACCTTTCTTTCCCATATTAGGTCCTCTTGGCCCTAAAGACTTTTTGTGTAGCTAGCTACCTGTACATACAGAAAAGAATCAGGCAAGGGGCAAGAGAGAAAAGACACAGCAACCCTCCTTACACACCTAAGCCACGGGAACTCTAAGGTGCCAATTGTCATAGATGAGGGTATTTTTCCAGGGGACCAGTACACATGCTGAACACAAACCACACAAACAGGAGAAAACAATCACAGCTACACTTTTCTGCTGCACACCAGGCTTATCCAGATCCATCGAACACATTCCTGGCACATAAGTTCTCAAGAATAATAATGTTCTTTAGTCAGCTTCACACAGAGACAAAAGAATGCACGCCTCTCCCATATAAGCACACTGGCTAAAGGCAGTCTGTTAGCAGAGGAAATTTAGGAAGAATATTGGGAGTGATATCTTAGAGTAGGATGTCCAGTATGGTACAGGCACTCCAAATCATGCCACAGAACGATGAAATATTAAGCACCTACTGTGTGTCAGGCACTAGGCTCAACTGAAGGAACCTGGCATGGTTGGGAAGGAGTATGAAAGCTGTCATCGCACATTGGAAGGGCTGTCACATGGAAAAGAGATTGTTCTGTTTGGTCTAGGAGGGCAGATGGAAGACCCAGTAGACGGAAGGAGACAGATTTTGGCTCATCATTAGGAAAAAAAAAAAAAGGAAAACAAAGCTTCCTAATAATTAGACTTGTGCAAAAAGGGAGTGAGCTAGTATAAGTGCTTAACAAACGTTTGTTGACTTGATTTGAAAATGTTGAAGCGAAAGCCGGTTGACCACTACTCACAGAGGTCTTTGAGAAAGAGCGTCAGTTCAGTTTCAGGCTGGGCCATGTTGAGCGCTGAGCTTCTTCTAGTTCTAAGGCTTACCTCTTCTCCTCCAAAAGGCCATACCTGGGGCCCTGCTTCATCTCACTGGGATACCACCAAGGAGGCTCGAGTTTCTTGCAGTTTGGAATAGAAACTAAGGCAGAGTCATATATATCCTGGCGAAGGCCCGCGGGGACAAGGTGTTGTGTGAGTGACTTCAGGGGGCCCGTACTTCTGTAGATAAATATCGCCCCCCATCCAGGCCCACCCGTCCTATGTGACTTTTGCCCAAGTCCTCTTACAAAGCCTCTGCAGGAAGTCCACCCGATGTGCTGGGATCTTCCACTACATTTCCTAGGTGGAGAGCTGGTCTTGAAGTCAAGAAGGATTGGGTAGGAGGGCCACCTCAGACACATCCTGGCTATGTGACCCTGAGCAAGTCACTTAATTTCTCACTGCCCCAGGTAAAACTCCAAGTTGTAGAACAGGGCTTCCTTACCAGGAAGTTCCCTAGACCAGTGAAATTACAGGTCTGGGCCCAAAACAAACAAAACAAAACAGCTGTTAGGATCGTGTGTGAATGATTATTAGGACTGATGAAAGCAGTTCCCAATGCAAAATAATTATCTGAGGTAACGTCCCATTTTAATGAGCACTGATTTGCATATTTATTTTTGAGCTAAATTTTCCCCAAAGTGATCAATGCATAGTTTAATTCCATACACTTGAAAAATATACTCTGCTGTCTTCAAAGAGGCGAGTACAGTGATCCCTTCTGCATCACACTTTCCCCTCTGCAGTTTCGATATATCACAGGTCAGCATAGGAAATTAAACGGGAATTTTGGGGAAGTTTTGTGGAAGCCACAGATGACACAGAGCTGGTGACCAAATACTTAGCCCAAAGTTTACAACATGTTACTGTAAACACACCATAAAAGAAAAAAAATTCAGACAACTCTGGTACAAAGGATTTTCCAGATGGTGGGGGCACTGCACCCCTAACTCCCACACAATGTGGAAATGATTACTATATATCCTGCCAACGTGCACTTTTAGCAAAATAAAACCATCCTAAATTCACAAGCCTCTTGGCATATACCCACAGAGGGCAGCTCCCCCACACAAGGGTTGTTGTCTGACATTCTCCAAGGCGAAATCCTCCTTTGGAAGCAGAGAATAAAGCAGAAGCATGGATGGGGCTGTGTGAGACAGTAAGTCTGATGGGAAGCACTCACCCATAGGTTATAAATAAAAGAGGAGCCCTCCAAGACACAGGCTGCTTGTGTTTGAGGGAAAGATGCTAAGACTGCAGATGTGACAGCCTCAGGAAAAAAACAGGTCCCAGGGATTGTCTCAGTCAAGATTCTCAACAGGGACCAGGTTTAGAGAACTACTCATGCTGATGGATGTTGTCATCAAGAAACTCACCCACCAGAAAGAGGCAGGTTATGGCTGCTGGGGGAGCCAGGAGCTTTCCAGCTTGTTTTTTCAAAGTGCTTTGGGGAAGAGAGTAGAGACAACAGACAGAGAAAGTGAAGGAAAAAGGTGTCCAGTATCTAATCACCGAACACCCCACCCCTGTCTGCTTTCATCAGGTCCTACCTACTGAAACAAAGCATATTCAGCTACCAAAAAACAAATAACAGCAATGGTCTCAATTCGATTGATAAAATACAGCCCAGGAGCAACATCAGGGCAAGGAGGGGGCATTGGCAACCTTCACCTCCAGGAGTCAAAGTTCCAAAGCATGAGTCAGTTCATACTAATGGGTCCTCATGTCACAGATTTTCTGCATGGATAGGTTGATTCTTATTAAAAACCACCTCTAAGGAGCAGCTAGGTGGCACAGTGGATACAGCACCGGTCCTGAAGTCAGGGGGACCTGAGTTCAAATCAGATCAAACACTTGACACTTACTAACTGGGCAAGTCACTTAACCCTAATTGCCTAAAAAAAACCCACCTCAACCTCTCACATGGCTTGAGTGACTCATCCCTTAACCCATATTAACCAAGCCAGCCCACTTCCCACACAACCCTCTAGCTGTCATTACAACTGTGATGTGCTATAAAGAACACAGGATGGGGAGAGGGGACACTTAAATTCAAAGGTCTACTTTTAAGTTATTAGCCATGTGACCTTTGACAAATTCACTTCATTTCTCTGGACATTAGTTTGCTCACCCGTTAAATGAAGAGGTACTGCAAGAAACAGCCCCTTAGATTTGCATGATGCCATGCAAAGTTAAATGCCTGGAAAAATAATTTATATTAGTAATAATATGTAATACATAACATATTATATATTATATTACATCTTTACTTATAGTACTTACTCTACTTATATTGCTTATTTCAAGGTTTGCAAGGCACTTTCATCACCACAACCCAGTGAAGTAGGTAGTACAAGTATGATGAGTCCCATTTTAATGAGGAGGAAACCCAGGTTCAATGAGGTTACATTCCTTCCCTACAGTCAGACAGCTGATAAGTATCAGAGTCAGGTCTCCTGGCTACAGAACTCTTTCCACTAGGCCAAAATGAAGAAGCCACCTCATCCTGGCTCCTCAGTTACCAAAGGAAGGATTCAAGTTTAATTTGGAGCTTAGCCAATTAAAGCGCTAGGAGCTGGCCAAGGAGAAGAGGCCAGATTCAACCACAAGATCCCCTTGGTAGCCAGTGGCCCCAGTTGGCCTTCCACAGCGGTTTCTACCTGAAGCAGAAGCAACCACAAAGAGGGAAAAACCACAACAGATTTTAGTGAAAGAGAAAAGAACAGAGAATTAAAATTGACCTGGAGAAGAAAAGGCTAAGTAGTAGCTTGATTATTGCTAGACAAAGATGGATAAAGATGACTTAGTCTCCAACTCAGATGAGGAATTTAGCATGCAGAACTGACTACAATTTCCCACAGCTCACAAAGTTTGTAGGCTGACCCAGGTGAGTGAAAGACGTCTGCCATTGAGGACAAACAGAAGAGGCTTTAAGCCTGGACTAGCTCCTCTGCAATCTTACCTGAAGCTGGAGAGGAAGCACGGTATAGAAAAAGCCTGGTCCTGGAGTCAGGGGACCGGAGTTCAAACAGTACGTCTGACACTCCCCACCAGTGGGATCTTGGGTAACTCACTTAACCACCTTGGGCCTCAGCTGTAAAACGAAGGGACTGGGCTACATGATTCCTGAGGCCCCTTCCCAGCTCTGGATATTTATCCAGTTGAGTTAGATAAGAAATTCCATTGGCAAGACACAATGGTGACTGTTCATGGCTGTAACCAGGAAGTGGCTAGAAGTGGTCTGCCAACCACTTGGTAGGTGAGTCTGTCCCAGGTATGTAAAGTATATATGTTTGCACACACTCCAAATTTTCCTCCCTCCTCTCTTCACCATGGTAACCACTACCCCTCCCTACCTGGCCAGGCCAAGAGCTGGCCAAGAGAAAATGAAGAATCCCCAGATGCAGTGCCTCACCAAGGGTTATACCCTTGTGTCTTGAGGTTTAGGTGACAATTTCCAGGAGTTACTGAACAAACTGACACCTCAGCCACAGGAGGGTCTGTGAGAAGCCTCTGCCCCAATCCTCCTTTCACCTCTTGAATTTATAAACCTCAGTCTTGAGTAGCTTCAAGAAAGCAAAGGTTTTAATCTGACTGTTACCTGTTCCTTCCCCATCCCCAACACAGACCCATCTCCCCAGACACCAAGGGAATCAAGTATAAGCAGAAGAGGAGGTCCCCGAAGCAGCTCCAGGCTCTTTGCTCATGCCGATGAGACTTCTTGCTCCCTACAGCCGAGTAATAAGATAAACAACTCCCTGCAATCGTAAGGCCCCAGAGACCAGCTTGGAGAGATGGGTGAAATGTGTAGGAGAGAGTCATTAGGTCTATCTGTGATCCTGCTGTCTTGTACCTTGTAGGTACTCACTCGACATCTATGGAACAAAGGAAAGGCTAACTCAGAGAAGGGGTTGGGGAAAGGGCAAGTGGGTGCTGGTGAACCCCTCTGCACTTGACTCAGTCATCGGACAAAGAGGCTCGGAAACACACAGCTTCCTTTCCCAGGGCCGTGCTGGGTGTCCTCCCTTCACAGAGAGGCCAACTAGCTACACAGAACCCTTAGGGAGAGGAGAGGAGAGGAGAGAGGGAAGTGGGACTGATGAAAGGATGTGAGCTGTGGGAAGGGATGAACTAAAAGTGAGGGGTGCGGGGTCACGAGATTCTGCAAACAGGAAAAGAGTTAAGTGGGTCCAGAAAAAGAAGTCCCACCTAGAGGTGGGGACCAGTCTGCTCATTACAAGAGAGATTTCACCACACCGAACCAAGAGCCAAAGCAATTCTAGACAGGGTGGATTAAATGGGGATACTTCTTTGGGTCCCCTTCCACAATCTACCCACCAAGATGCTCCATGGCCCTTAAAGCTAGTACCTCATCTATCAGTACATTCCTTGTACGGGAAGGGAGAGTCTTCTGGGAAGCCTGCCCCCCAATTAATCCTACTCAATCCTGTTAACTCAGCTATTTGTGCATTCAGTTTGACTCAGGGACAGATCCTTCCCTTGCCTGTATGCTGTATCCCTATGTCTGTACATATCATTTTCAGTCGTATCTGATTCTTCATGACCCCTTTGGGTTTTGTTTTGGTTGTTTTTTTTTTTTTGGCAAAGATGCTGTAGTGGTTTGCCACTTCCTTCTACAACTCATTTTACAGATGAGGAAATTGAGGCTAACAAGGTTAAGTGACAAGCCCAGAGTCACACAGCTAGTAAGTGTCTGAGGCCACATTTGAACTCAGGTCTTCCTGACTCCAGGCCCAGTCAGTGCTCTATCCACTGTGCCAAAGTGTTTTCCTTTGTGCCTGTCCCACCTCCCCAGCTAGAGTATAAGCATCTCAAACATCTGGTCAGGTCTCTCCTCTACTTTAAAAAAAAATCTTCCCTAGTTTCCTACTGCCTACCAAGCAAAGTTTCTATTTCTTTGGCTGACTTCAAGTCCCACTACAATGAGGCACCGATCTACCTTTCCAGCCATTTCTCATTCTATTCCTCTCCATATAATGGATGTTCCACTAAAACTGGATTACTCGATGTCCCCCTTACAGGCTGTGAGTTTTCCCATTCCTGTGCCTTTGATCACATTGTCTCCTATTCCTAAAATATCACAGAATCATAGAATTGGAGCTGGAAGGGATCTCAGATCATCCTCATTTTACACATGAGGAAACAGGCCCAGAGAAATGATTTTCCCAGGGTCACAGAGGAAGTAAGCAGAAAGCTGGGACATGAACCCTGAAATGCAGCACCCTTTCCCCTGCACTGGGCTGCTGCAACCTCCCCCCACCCCCATCCCCTTTTACCTCTTAACTTTTTAAACCTCCTTTAAAGACTAGTTCAAAGCACCCCTCCCCGCCAGGAGCCTTCCCTGCTCCTCCCAGGCAACTATGAACTGTTCTCCCTCAGACCTCACCCCCCCCAAAAAAAACACTTCATTTTATACCTAAGGTCCTTATCACATGCTATAGTTATCCCTAAGTGCAATCCAGCTACCCGTGAAACCTGAAAGAACTACATCTGGAGTTTGTGGAAATATAGACCTGTTAAGGGGTGGGGTCACTAAGTTTATCTAAACTTGACAACAAGGTGATTTGCACACAGTAGGCAAAAGAAGGGGTAGGGCAGCATCTTTGGTTTCTGTTCCATCTTTTCTCTCTACATATTTCTGGTTTCTACTAAAAGACAATTACTAACTGATGCTTAGCCCATGATGCTGATAAAAGACTATTTCTATCACTATTTCAATCAAAGTGGGACAAGGGACCCAGGGTCTGGGACAGCCCTAGCACTATTCTACGGGCCTCCCAGCTCCATTTTCCATTCTGATGAGCTGGGGATGAATTTATCTCCAAGAAGAAGCAGAGACGTCTGTGGTTGTGAAGGATGATGGGACAGAAAAGAAACCTTGGGAGACCCAAAGACCAAGAGATGCAGCTCTTACCGTCTTAATGTAGGGCATATAGTTTGAGTCCTTGTCATAGGAGCCATATTCATTCTCCACCTGCACGGCGATGATGGGCCCTCCTTGTTTGTACTGAGAAGGGAGGAGATGGGCGTTAGCACTGAGGCCCACTACATGTTAAGGGTAGGTGGGCCCTCTGATGATATCACACCAACCCACAGGAGCCTCTTCTCCAAATCACATCATGTGTTGCAGTCTGACCCCCCCCCCAAATCCCACCTCAACTGGCTCTATCTGGACCCACCAATTTCCTGGGCTATGATCCCAAGAGGAATCCTGGTGCAGTATAAACACTAGCTATACCATTAGGAACAATCACTCAGCCTCACAGAGACTGTTTCCTAACCTGTAATATAAGATCAGTACTCTTACTTCCCAGGGCGGTTGTGAATGAAGCCCTTTGTGAAACTCAAAACTGCATTAATGTGCATCATTACTCTAAGCCTAGCTCCCCACCAATAATGCTCACTCATGATCTATGTGGGATATGGAGGCATTGATATGCATCCAGAACAGTGATTTTCACCACTGTCTGCAGGTCCTGTTCCAGATCATCAATATCAGTACTGTTGAGCTTAGAGAGTAAAACTCCTATCTTTGTTTTGGTGACACTAGGAAATACCAAGAGATGCTGTGCCAGTCTCAAAAGAAAACTAAGTCCAATTCACTTTGATTTAAACAAAGAATAGTAGCCATACAAGACTTATTTTGGAAGGCAATAGAGCAAATAAGGATGTCACAACAAAAAGTTGGGAAATCACAGACCTACAGATCAGGATTTGTACCTGTGTGTACGTGCATGCATATGTGTATGTGTATATGCACGCACACTTATGCTTCTCTTGGACAGGACTTAGTTGTGTGCAATTAGGAACCAAATAAAGGCATTCTGGAGATCATCAAGGTATTCATTAATCATCCATCTGCATGTGATGAAAGACTCTATAAAGTCCATAAATACATAGGTCCTGACCTCAGCATCTAATGATCTCAGCCAACAACATGATGCATATATTCAGAAGGAGATGTAGCAAACAAGTGCCAAAGTACTCATAGGCAAATGGGGAAGTCTTCCATAATGGTGCATGAAAAGAATCCTGGGAATCAGAAGGTGGGGCAGGATAGGGATAGGAAACCTGCCACCCCACAGTGGAAGAATTGGAGCCCAAGTCTGACCTATGGCTTGTGTGTTTTTCAATAGCACCAGGGCTCAAGGACTTAATAAGACTCACCAATTTCCCTGGGAATGAAGGTGGAGAAGGGGATATGGGGGTGTGTGGTTTTACCTGCAGTGGAACCACTCTGGGAATCAGATGATTAAAATAGCGATCCACAGCTGAAATGAAGCCATCGTAGGTTGTTCTCAGCTCCATGTGGGAATCTTGGAGTAACCAGCTAGAAGTGAAAAGAGGAGAGGCTCAGGGCCAGAAAAACAGGGTGGAGACTAATTAAGCGATGAAGCTAAGGACCAGGGCTGACCTAAATTCACACAATTCTCAAACAGCCGCCAAACTCCAGAGGCACAAGCCACCAAAGCTTAGACAAAAACACCTCAAGCCCTTCATCCATGACTGCTCCCTGGTAGAGGGCACAGGCAGGAATTCAGCAGGGGCTCCCCACATAGGCTGCAGGTCAGGAGGCCAGCCAGAGGCAGAAAAGCATCTCACCACAAGGAGCTCCAGGGGACTCGGGGATCAGCTTCCTGAGGACCTCTACTCACAATCCTCCCATTTACAGGCGGTCCAAGCCAAATTGTTTAAGGGTTTTCTAGGAATAGAAAACCTAGCAGGACTCAACCTGTATCTCTTTCCAATGTCAGCCATGAAAATGAGTTTGAAATCAGAACGGAACAAGTCACCATCAATTCTGATGGAGGCTGTGGGTGCTGATAAGAATGACTAGGCTTCATCAGCCTGGTCAGCAGAGCAACCCTCAGAAAGTAAGGAGGGACTGGGGTGCAAGATGGGTGTAGCTTTCATACCATCTACCCTATGATCCCCAAAACTCCACAAGGACAGCCACCGAGCCAAGGGCGAGATAGAAAGTTCAAGTTACTAACCTGAGCACCTCACCCTCTCTTACATCTAGAACAATGCTCATTCTGGAAGTGTCCTCTGTGTTTCTAGAGTCCCGATGCCAGTCTAGAAATCACAGGCAGAACTCCAAAGTGATCTGCTAGTATATAATCAAGGGCATAGAGAAGGTGGCAACCTTCTCCAATATAAATATTCATTTGATGCCCCCCACTCACCCTTGAACCACACTGGATTTGTATCATACACTTCATCTCTGGCTTTTGGAACTAGTCCTGATTTACTAATACTCCTCCATCACAAGACTCTGCCTTTTTGCCCTTTGCCCAATCCTGACCCTCCCCCTTGGGGCTGCATGTGTGTGTGTGTGTGTGTGTGTGTGTGTGTGTGTGTGTGAGTTTATGCTGTGTTTCCTAATGGATGTCACGTCCCAGCAAAGGCAGGTGATAGCACACAGAGATTTCAGTGCCAAAGGTACTTGCTGCTGTCTTAACATTCCTTAATCCCCTCCTGCTGCTATTACCCCAGCTCAATTCAACCTGATGAACTCTGAAAAGTTCATAAGGATCCTTCAACCACTTGGGCACAAGAAGATATGGAAAAAAGAGGAGAGGGGCAGCTAAGTGGCACAGTGGATAGAGCACCGGCCCTGAAGTCAGGAGGACCTGAGTTCAAATCCAGCCTCAGACCAAACACTTGACACTAGCTATGTGACCCTGGGCAAGTCACTTAACCCCAATTGCCCTTAAAAAAAAAAAAGAGAGCAAAGTCACTAATATTCTGTGCGCTGGCAGCCTCCTCTGGGGACAGGTGTCATGGCTGTGAACAATGGGAAACAAAAGAATCAGGGGGACCACAGTTTGGAAACTGCTGTGCAGGCAGAGAGAGTTACAAGCAGACATAATAGCATTTGTTTGGGGTTTTTTTTTTTTGTTTTTTGGTTTTGGTTTTTGGTGAGGCAGTTGCAGTTAAGTGACTTGCCCAGGGTCACACAGCTAGTAAGTGTTAAGTGTCTGAGGCCAAATTTGAACTCAGGTCCTCCTGACTCCAGGGCCGGTGCTCAGCATGCATTCTTATAAATGCAAAAGTGAGAAGCAAAATAAGCATAAAATACTTGGCTGAGTTTTATCCCAACTACGTGTCACCCCTTCCTTCATCCACTCCTTTCCACTACATCAATATTGCCCATACCATGACAACAAAAGATCTAAGATATGCCAAAAAAAAAAAACACCAAATCCTCATATTTATGATGCCCTTTTTGTCTTTCAAAGCACTTACACGTTTTCTCTCATATTTTATCCTAAACACCAGGGAAAGTGAGATGCAGAGGAGTTAAGTGATGTACAGTAGCATCTAGTTAGAAGCACAAGCACTTTGTTGAGGCAATGAGTGCTGGAGGTGCCCTATCCTGCCAGCTCCTACCTGGCACCCTACAGAAAAATCTCACAGAAATTCTGCCTGGATCATACCCATTGCTGCGTCTACAGTTTTAAGGGCTTGTATTGTTGATTTTTAATGTAAAGACGAAAATAAGCTTTAAAAGAGTGCATATTTCTGTGGTTTACATTTTGGAACATCTGGGATCCCTGTCCTACACCGATCACTTCAACCTTACCTGGGTAAGCCGCCGAGGTCCCACTCACTGCAGATGTAGGGACCAGGGCGCAGAATCACCCACAGCCCAATATCTGCTGCCATCTGGACAAAGGCCCTAAAGAGGAGAAAGGCAATATCAGTGCCACTTAATAAAGCCAAAAGCAGAGGCAAGGATATAAGATCTCAATTAGCAATCCTGGATAACTCCACTGCTCAGGTGCTCTCCAGACTGAAGTCCTTCTCCCTCAGTCTGGAAGTCAGGAGAGAGCAGAGCTCGTGGTTCTGACTAAAGAAGAGGCAGGAGCAGCTGTTACCCAGAAGGGAAAAGAATTCACCTTACCCTAAGATGCAACAACCCTTCCCCTTCTCCTCCCCAGCCCCCATGCACAGAGTCAGGGGTTCTCATCTGCCTAGATCAATAAGTCTGCCTAGGTTCTCTGGGGGTACAGGGAAGGAGAAGCTCAGAGGGGTAGCTCACCCCAGCTTTGCCTTGTCTTACAGGCTTTGCTAACCAAGGGCATGGGAATCCCTTGTCATAACACAGGTGGCAGATTTCATACTGCTGACTAAACCTGAAAAACCCTGGGCTTTTAAGCAGCTTCTCTAGATTAAGACAAGGGAGGACTGACCAAGAAGCTAGGTCATAGCCCTGCTAGGAGAAATCAGATTATCTGACAGAACGGACCTGGCTCTGAGTACAGGGACAGTGCTCCCAGCATTTTAGAACCTGGACCCCAGAGTTTTTGTTTCCAAGAATAAAGATCAGATTTCCCCTTCTACTCTCCTTCCCCATTTACAATGTCCATCCCCCAGCCTCCCCACAGTGAAATAACTTGGCTCTTAAGACATACTCTACATCCAAGTTCCCACTGAAGTTAAACTTTCCTCTTTCCGGCTCATGGAGATTCCAGGGAATATACCTGCAACCAAAAGAAGAAGTGTCAGGGGGCAGCAAGGTGGCGCAGTGAATAGAGCACCGGCCCTGAAGTCAGGAGGACCTGAGTTCAAATCCGGCCTCAGACCAAACATTTGACACTTACTAGCTGTGTGACCCTGGGCAAGTCACTTAACCCCAATTGCCTAAAAAGAAAAAAAAGAAAGGAAAAAGAAAAAAAAAAAGAAGAGTCAGACAGACTCACCTCATTCCACCTGTCTCCAAGTAATCTTTCCTACCCTGAGCTTTGGGATCAGATACCTGGGAATGCTCCACTTCTGTTAAAAACCTTTGGTGATACACCCGAGGGATTCTCTCCAGGCTCTTCCTGCCACCCAGCTGAGGCTGCCAACATTTAAACTGACTCCAAAGAACTGACAGGCTGAGTGTGAACCCTGCTGTCTTGGCATGCCTCTGAGTGTGCTCAAAAGCAAATGGGAATGATTTGGGGATTTACCCTCATTTTGAATTACCCATAGCTCTGATACCTTCCACTATGGAAACGGCTCCTATCTGTGACTTCACTGATATAGGGAACTCCCTTTACTAACGGAGACTGGTAATGATTCCACAACATAAATTCTTAGGGAGCTACCCTGGACCCAGGGGATGCAGCGCCATTAGCCTGAGACCCAGCCTCATTACCCACCAGACACATCAGACTTAGTCACAAAACTTTATAGTCACAGGTGGTGTGCAGAATTTGCCCAACAATCTTGTGTCCCATGGGCTATTATTGTATTTATGTCTTTGTGAAGGAACCCACTGGACCATGTCAAACTCACAGTGGTTCAGGGACCTTGGATCACTCTGTTCAATCTGAACTCTAGCATCCCATGTCCCTTCCTTATATCCAAGAACCTGAACAGCTGTGATGGTATGAGACCCACAGCATTCCCATTTTCATGACACCTCCACTTTTCCCCCACCACATTAAATGCCGTCTTAGCTAGATTATTTGCCTCTTTCCCTTTCACAGCTGAAGCACAACTGAAGGTTGAGCAAGGGTTTTTCTTTACAAGGTCAATTTAATTTATCTAAAGGGTACAAAGAATCATATATCTGGCCTATAACAAGTATATTAATTTCTGCTAGATTCCTCCTGAATTTCAAAGGATAAAGCTCCATGAAGCCAGGCCCCACACCAGATGGACTATATTTCTTCCTCCCAAGTGGATAAACAGCCTCCTTCTTGCCAAGATACTCTGCCACATACCACTGGCTCCACTAACACGTCCCAGCAAGAACCAGCATCAGCCAGTCCGGCCTCCTACAGGGTGCTACCTATGTTCTCATTATGCCCAAAGTACATCATAAATATCATTCCATCACAACTTTGTCTTCCTTACTGGTCTGAAAGTTTCCCAAGAGTAAGATATTCTCCCCTAAGAGCCTGAGTGCTTCCCTTAGGACAGGGGCTGTTTTTTCCCTCTTCTTCATCTCTCTCCTGTCTTCCACTCCCAACCCTGCCCTGTCTCCCCCTCCTTTCCCAATACCAGCTTTCCATACCTCTACCCCCACCAGGACCAGCCCGGGCATCTCCCAAAACAAGTTTGCTAAGTGGCAGTGGTTCAGTTATTTGGGGGCTAAACAGGAAATAGCCACAAATTCTGATCACAGGTAGCCAGAGCTAGAAGTTACAACCGTGGTTTCTAAAGGTCTTTGTGGATAACAAGGGTAGGATTGGGGGAGAGTGAAGGACCCTTAATACTTACGTAGTGAGGGTGTTTAAGCCACAGGCCTTCAGCTTCAGCAATCGATCTCTCCAATATTCCCTGGGCACTCGAAAGTAGTGTATAGAGCCCCCCAAAATCTGGAAGTTGGAGCCCTCCAGCAAGAAGTTTGGTCCCTCAGCCTGCAGTCCCAAATGCCGGTTCCAATGCCGTATAGAGGCCAGTTCACTCCAGTTAAACCTCCAAAGGGGAAAGGGAATTTGTAAATCTTCTGAATTCAACTCTAGTTATAGGCAATGGGGCAGCAAGAGAGATACTCCTTGATTCTCCTTCAAAAGACTTACACAGTGTGTATGGGGCTTCCTCCCACCTCAGAAAAAGAAAAAACTTCCCTTTCCCTCAGTAAGACCTCAGGAGGCCTTCCCCAGCTCCACTCACACATGTGTGCCTGGTGGCTGGGGAGGAGCAAGCTGACAAGGGTGAAGGAAGAAGACAGACATAATTCTCACTGGGAAGGCCACTGTACTCAGAGGAGAAAGGATGGAGTGGGAGTCATACTGAAAACAGGAAGACAGTGGGTGATCTGGGGATGGCACAGCTCAGAGGGAGGATGCAGGGTAGGCTGTTGGCTAAAGACGACGAAGGAAGCAAGCGGAGGTTTCCTGCCACACAGACGAGGGCCGCTAGTCTACCGCTCAGTACAGTACCTCGGAGCCACCTTACGCCCACAGTCGTCCAACTTAAGGGGCAGGTACCTGGAAAAGGGCAGCTGGGTTAGAAACAGCACCTGTTACTGAATCACCAAATGTTCAGGTTCTATTTCTTTTCTTAAGAAGATCAAGTGCCTGCCAAGAATCTTTGTAAGACAGAGACCTAGTCCTAGAAAAGGAGCTAGAAGCCTGTGGTCTTAAAGTCAGAATTGCCTCTACATACCCTCAGCTGAAATCACAGCCCTGTGATCTCTTGGGCTGCAGAAAGAGGAGTTTGTACAACCAGGCCCCAGCCCACCTCTCAAATCTGGCAATGAGTTATAATGACAGCTTCAGGCATCTGTGATTTCCCTAGTGAAGCTACTCACTCTACCAATAAAGATTGCAACCCCTCTAGAACTGAATGAATATTCTTTGAGAGTTATTATAGTTAATAATTCATCACCTGGTAATGAGCCTTTCCATACTTAGCTTAGTTGACCCTAATATGATAATTTATAAATAATAACTTACAGTCATATAAGGCTTTATATGAATAATAAAGCACTTCATTGACTGTCTCACTTAATCCTTGTAAGTTTCTGAAGTAGAAAGAGCAAAAATTATTATCTCCATTTTACTGATGAAGAAAAGTAAGAAAGGGCAGCTAGGTGGCACAAAGAAAAAAAAAGAAAAGTAAGGCTCAGAGATATAATATGACTTTTTTTGTTTTTTATGAGGCAATTGGGGCTAAGTGACTCGCCCAGGGTCACACAGCTAGTAAGTGTCAAGTGTCTGAGGCCAGATTTGAACTCAGGTCCTCCTGACTCCAAGGCCTGAGCTCTATCCATTGAGCCACCTAGCTACCCCCTTTTTAACATCAAACAGCTATCAAATATCATAGCCAGGAAATTAATCCAGGTCTCCTGAATCCAAACCCATACCCTGCCTACAACACCAGACTTCTATCTAAACTCTCCCCAGCCACCAAACTGATCATTCACCAGACAAACATTAAGCACTTGAATGTCTCTCCTTTGCTCACACTGCTCCCCTTGCCTAGAATGTCTTATATTCTCTTCTCAGGTTATCAAAATCCTACCTATATCTCTAGGTATGGTTCAAGTTTCACCTCCATAAAGTGTTTTCTGATTGTTCCAGTTCCAACTGCTAAATTCCTATAGCAGATTAATTCAAGACAGTGGGGGAAAAGACTAAAGGGCAGGGGCTCCTTATGCACCCCCTTGAAAATGGCAATAGAAACACCAAAGAAAAGAAAAATGGCTAAGACCCCACACAATAAAAGAAAAATTATCAAAAAAAATTTAAATGAGCAAAACAAAGTACAGATACAATTTTTAGAAACACAAGTGAATAAATCAGCTAAAGTACCAGAAGCAAAGCAGATGTAAAAATAAACCACCTGTGGTCTATCAAGAGATATCCTCAAATGGCTGACACATTCAAAGAAATTAAGCAATTACTGACACTGAAAGGAATCATCATAAGACTAAAATAAAAGAAAGGTTTTTTCTTTTTTAGAAAATTGCTCAAAGAAAGAAAGGCACAATTAAAAGATGCTAAAAATTATTCATAGTAAATAATGAAAAAAGGTCTATATTGAAACTACACCAAAAAATCTATAGAAATAACCAATATATGACAACAGAAAATAGAATTTCATGACTATGAAGCACAGCTAAAAATACTGGCTCTCAAAATATTAATAATAATTATCTACCTAGAGGACAAAGCTTAAAATTGCAATTTCAGGATTATTGATACTCCAGAAAATTTAGAAAAACAAAAAGATACTGTAAAAACAAAGTTTCATATAATTTACAAAAACAATGAAGAAATACAATTAGAAAGAATCCACAGAACCTTGACAAGGAAAAATCCAAGATTTAACATTCCTGAAGACATCACGGTTAAATTCTGGCATTACAATGATAAGGGAAAAATACTCAAAAGCTGCCAGAAGAAATGAATTTATCAAGAGATTCATACACACATACACACACAAAAAAAGAGTTGCTCAATTTCTATTTTTCTTCTGATAGTTTTTGAAGTGCTTTGGAATAGAGGCAGCTAGGTTGCTCAGTGGATACAGTAATTGGGCCTGGAATCAGGAAGACCTAAGTTCAAATCTAACCTCAGACACTTACTAGCTGTGTGATCCTGGGCAAGTCACTTAATATCTGTTTGCCTCAGCTTCCTTAAGTGTAAAATAGGGATAATAATAGCACCTATTGCTAGAGTTGTTATGAGAATCGAGTGAGTAAATATTTGTAAAGCACTTAGTACAGTGTCTGCTATACAGTAGGCACTATATAATGTTAAGGAATGTTACACTAGACTGGGAAACTCCTTGTGCAGCTGGGACTCTTGTAGATAAGCAGACCATCATATCTCCATAGTAGTTCGCAACGGGAAAAAATGCTGCTTTTGCCATCTTGATTATTCATGATTTGTCCTCCCCTACCACTCCCATTTAGGTGGACAGTTCTATTTCTCTTCATCTCTTTGTCGCAATTTCATAAATACACAAGCTTCTGTTTGGATTGTGAACTCTTTGCCCTGGCTTAGGGCTCCACATGCAAGTTCATTTCTCTTTTAATAAATCTAGTTGCAACTCAATGTCTCATGGACTTGTGATATTATTTTGGTGCTACCTAGTATTAGTATTTTGACAGGTACCAAGAAAAAAACTGGATCACAGCAAACTTTTAAAGAACAAGAAACGGCTGGAGAAATTGGAATATAACACTTATAAAACTAATAGGCCAGGAGCCATCACCCTGAAATTGTCTACCCAGAAAAAACACAGTATACTCTACAAAACCATGTATCTGACACGTAGATACTGTGAAAATTTACAGCAACATCACATTCAAGAAAGTCTTCCAACAACAAACAAGCCTTTTAGCCAAAAAAAAAAATATCTAAAACAGCTCACACTTTGCAAGTCAAGTTAAACTAGTTACAGCAGAGCCTTCAGAGCACAGGATTAGCTAAACCTCCAAACACCTGAAAACAGTATTTCAAAGACAGGGAAGGGAAACAAAAGAAAAGAAAAGGAAGGGGGCAGGAAAATCCCAAAGCAAAGCTCCTATCATTGATAAAAGGGGAATCCAAATTAAAGAAACCTTCATAATAGTTACTAATGATAGGGAATCTTTATTTAGAGTGGTTCTATTAAGTTTAGCTTAATAATAGAATTTTTAAAAAGAGAGAATTTAGTCCTATCTAATAGAATGACTGAAAAAAGACAAATCTTAAGAATTCTAATGCTAAATGGAAAATACTTAACTTTCCAATAAAACCCAAAAGAGTAACAGAATAGATTAAACAGTGCTTATAGAAATCCAGAAACATCTAAATGGATTCAAAATAAATGGACAGTCTAAAATTTCCTATGCTACTGCCAAATCTTGAAAAGTGGGAATAGCATTAATGATACTGGACCAAACTGAACTTCTCTTGGACTCCTGAACCTGGGCTCTGATTAGACAGCCTTAACATTTTCCATCCCCCTGAAAACTATACCAAATGTTCATTCCCTCTGCATGTCTCTTCCAATTTTAGCTTTCTCATGTGTGAAGTCTTCCCCCTTTAGAATATAAACTTCTTGAGGACAAGGGGCTATCTTGTTTGCATGTATTTGTATCCCTAGCACTTACCACAGGACCAGGCACACAATAAATGCTTAATAAATGCTTTTTCACTCATTCAAAAAGAAAATATTAAAAGAGCAAGGATGTTATAATATTATGCTAAAAGATTTTATATAAAATAAGAGTATATCAATCTTAAATAAAAGTGTATTAATAATTCTGCAGCAAAGGAAAACCTTCCACCCTTACAAGAAGAAAAACCACTACTAATTGAAAATTTTAACATCCCCCTGTCAGATCACTGTTCACAACAACAACAAACTAAAGAGAATATTAAACAAATGAAATTTAATAAATACATATACTTAATGAAAAAGGCAAAGACCATATACTTTTCTCCCATGTTCATGTAAGAAAAAATAATAAAAATTATCAATAGCTGAGCCAAAAAGAAGATAAAGGCAAATATAAAAAGCAGTCATTATTTATAATTATAGGCCATAATGCATTGAAAGGCTCTAGAGAATAATGATGCAAAGAAAAAAGGTATAGGAAACTAAAAATAGACAGTAAATAATAACTAGACAAAAAGGAAATTACAAAAAGAGTAGAAATATATTAAAAGCAATGACAATGACAGCAGAGATTCTTCAATAGATCTGTGATCTCACCCATGTGATTACTTCCTTTAGCCATACAGACTTTAGCCCATTCATGTTTGCCCCTCCTCTGTGACCTGGTTCATGTGCTCTCCTCCACCAAGGGTACACCCAACATGATAATGGCCCTCTCTCAGATCTCTTGACATTTCCTCAGTAACAATGGGACACACAGGCTGTCCATCAATGATCCTTTGCTGTGTGACTGGCCTATTTTTAAAAATTCCATAACATAGCTCTCTGATGACATCCTTAATGGTGCTTCTTCTACACAA